AAGGGATAATTCGAACTGCCACGCACACAGAAAAGGCTCACTGTTGTTTCAGTCCCCCCGAACGGGTTTTTTAAGGTGCGCACCCACCATCAACATTCTTTTTCCCCCAGGTGCGTTTTGGGACAAAAGTGTGTTCTGTCCATAACTTTGTTCCATGTTTACGGAGGCATTTTCTGAACTTTGTGGGGCAGTTCCTTTTGCTTCAGGATAACCAAGGCAAGGAAAGTCCAAATGGGTTCCACCACTTCCCTATGTGTTTTTTTAAGGGCGGTGGATTTGACCTTTCCAGGAAAGTTCTAGTTTTTTCTCTCATATTTTTCTGAGCTTTCCAGCTCAGAAGCAGTTTCTGGAGGCAAATGCCCATCCAGGTTTTAAGGGCAGGCGTGTTGTCGGTTTCAATAGCAGGTCCTGATTTGGAGGTAGCAGGTCCACTTCCCCCAGCGGAAAGCCCCATTTCCATTACCAATACCTAGTTTCAGCTATTAAGTGGCTAGTTCTCTGGGCAGCTAATGCCTCTTCATTCTGTGCCTCCATTCTGGCTTCCAGTTTGTTCCATGCGAGATTTGTCTGGAATGTCAAGCAAGTGATGCCATTGGGTGGCAGTTTGAAGTTGGTAAGGTTGGTGGAAGCCTGTGAGGTTGGTGAAGCTGGTGAGGTTGGCTGATCAGCACTGTAGTGTGACTGGAACTTTGGATCAGCATCCGAACAGTGGGTTACTGTAAGTATACAGGGTAAATTGGATTAGGGTTATATGTGGTTCGTGTATCCCAGGGTAAGCCTTGATGTGACGGTAGTATTCGACTCTTTGTCCAACTGTGAGCTGACTAAGAAAAATACAAAAAGAATTGTTTTGTGTTCTTTTTCGTGTTTTATTCAATGTTTTAATGACTATGTCGTGAAATGCACACAACAACACGTCATAATCCGTCTTAAATGGATATGATTCACATCATTGGTGGTGCATACAGCCCTAATGGTAGGTTCTATAGCTATGACACCAATACGAGGATTGGCTCTATTAAGGGCACTCTTGTACCTTGAGTAAGGAATATAACCTAACCACATGGTGAACAAAGAGTTTCCGCGTCGGGTTCCAACAGTACGCATCACGTCATGGCCCGCCCAAAAGGATTAGGGATTGGTTTGTGGTAACAGGGAGGACGCTTTGGGCTGTGTCGACAATAATCCAATACGAGAGCCTGCGATCCAGCGCCTACTTGCTATCCAGACTCAGAAGTTGAACAGAAGAGAAGAAATTCATTTTGAAATTCCGTTTTTTATGCAATGGAGAAAAGGATTCTCATTCGTGCAATAAATAAACAATTTTTAAATGTTATTTAAAGTAAATTTCAATTAATGTCCACCAATTCTCCTTAATTAAGCATTCTTAAGAAAGAATACCTTAAATCTTTGTGTTGGGGTACCTGCAAAACAAAGCATAGTAAAAATAATACCCTGAAGAAGGGCCGGTTAGTTTACACAACAATCGTAAGTCCACTTTATGCCAAAATGATTGCATAAGTCCCGCAGTGAGTCCGCAAACTGTGAACCTCCCTCCCCGAAAAATTAGGCATATTGGTGAATATGACTGAAGGGCAGAAATGCACGTGAATGTGGTTGAGTCGCCAACCGTTGGTTTTAAATTATTTAGGGTAAACTAGAAAAAACCCTAAGTTGCTCTCCATTTTTTAATTACCTAATTACTAAGAATTAATTATCAATGTTTAAGGCATTAATCTACGATACCGAGAGTGGATCCCGAGACTATGTCATGCTTGATGAACTAACCAAATGAATGGAAGTGCTTTTGCAGGGTAAATGAATGTAATTGGACCATATGAATGTTTAATGATTTTCGACTTGCCGCTACGGGCGTTAAATCCGCAACGTCGCCTAACGTACTTCCGTTTGACATGGGACAGATCAAAGTTGACGTAGTTTCGATGGCCTCTTTTAAAAAAGGGCTTTGGAATGGGTATGCTTAATGCCATGAGTTGGTGGTGTATTGCTTCGTGCATTTTGTTTAGGCATTTTGCCAAAGTTTTTTGTTGATTTGTTGTTTTAGCGCTTTGTTTTTCCAAAAAATGTTGATTTAAGGCTTTTAGCCAAAAAAGATTGATTTAGGCAATTTTTTGCCCAAAAGTTGATGTGATTTAGGCCCATTGGTCGCCAAACATGATTGATTTAAGGTCTTTTAGCCAAAAGATTGATTAATTTCAAGGCATTTTGCTAAAATTGATGTGTAATTTAGGGCAATTTGTTGCCCACAAAATGTGATTTGAATTAAACTGAATTTGTTGCCAAAACGCGATTGACTAAGGCTTTTAGCCACAATTATCAATTAGTTAGACTTAAGCCAGATTTGTTCGAAATAAGGCGATTGAACCGCAGTTATTAATTAACTAGGTTCTTAAGCCAATTTTGTCGGATTTAAGATCTAACGCCACAATTATTAATTAATCGGGCGTTTAAACTTAATCATGTTTTAATTGAGGCAGTTTATTTGCCGAATTGATGACGTAAATGCATTTATGCAACAACTTTAATTCAGAATTGGAGTAGAAGAAGAATATGCATGAAATGCTAAAATTAAATAGGCAGAGTTTCGTTAGTACCTGATTTAATTGCAGAGTTTTTCGTTTATTACCTGCAGTTAAATCGACGGCGCTTCATAGCTTCAGCTTGGAATAATTCCAAATTAAAGCCTCCTTTTCGTTTGGGGAATATTAATTAGAATTTAATTCAAATTAAGTGACCAAGTATCACAACAGCAGAATAAAAGGCCTACACTAATGCAGAAAAGTAGTCAAAAGAACCGCACAGGCGAACGTAGGGGCGAGAGTAGAGCGTTCCGTCACACAGGACTGAGTCCGCAAAACTGTTCGAATCGGCGCGCTGTATTTATAGGAAAAAAAAACAGGCCCGGAGGGCGGTCGCCGCCACTGGGCCGCCGTGGAGGGCGGCCATGCGCCTTGGACGCGCGGCCGGGCGCTGCCGCCGTGGGCGGCGGGCGCCGCCGCCCTATCCTGTCCACTCGCTAGTTTTTCGTTCCAAAGGCTTTTTCGGGAGTTCCGTACCTCTAAAGAATATTCTGGGACCAGTTCTGCGATCCTCGTAATTTTCCGGACGTTTCAAGTACCATATTTGGCATACTTTTGGTAAACTTTCTGAATGGCCTCCGGTCCAGCCGGACTGTTTGCAGTCCGGGAAAACAGGCTTTTTGAGCCTCAAAATTTGAGTATTCACACTCCCCGATTGGTTTGTAGCTGCATTGCCAACATTTCTATTATAGTCACCATAGGAAGACCGGTAATTACCAAAGCCCCGGCTTTTCTTTTTCTCTTCATTGTAGAGCTCTTCAATATTTAATCCAGCCCTTTGTACCAAAGAAAAGTCGGTGAGAGGTTGAGCCAACATCCTCTGATAAATAAAAGGTAAGGGAAAATGATCCTTCCGAGTGGCTTTATTTAACTTTCTATAATCGATGCACATTCGTCATCCCATCATATCTCCAATGGCAAGTGTCTTCTTTTTAACTATAGTGATTCCTCCCTTTTTAGGCACTATATGAATTGGACTGACCTATTGACTGTTGGAAATAGGATAAATGATACCTGCGCCTAACAGCTTAGGTATTTTCTTTTTAACTACTTTAAGATTTTGGTTCAGTTTTTTTTATGGCTCAATTGAAGGTTCAAATCCATCTTCAAATAAAATTCTATGCATGCAAAATGATGAACTTATACTTTTTATGTCTTTAATGTTATACCTTAGGATATTCCTATGTTGTTTAAGCAAATGCAACAATTTTTCTACTTGATCAGCATTTAAAGAAGAATTGATTATCATAGGGTAAGTATCGTCAGGATCGAGAAATGCATACCTGAGTTCCTTAGGTAATTGCATGACCTCGATTTCTAGTGTAAGGCGGTTTCAGTTCTTACCTTTTGTAATGGTCTCTACATTTCCGTGGGCATGTTTGGTTTCAGTTCTACCTTTTGTATGGTCTCTACAATCCGTGGCATGTTTGGATCTCTTGTTGATAAATCTGGTGGAGGGTCTATTTCTATCTGTTTAGGATCTCCCTCATCATCATTGTAAACAGTTGGAATGAACTTGTCGAGGGGATCCTTACAGATTTTCCTGCTAATTATCTCCTTTGAACTTTCATCTATAACGTCAACTGTTAAACATTTTGCATTTTTCGCTGGCTGCTTCATCATATCAAGTAGGTTGACGACTATTTCATCTTCTACTACTTTCAAGGTGAGTTTGCCTTCTTTAACGTCTATAAGAGCTCCAGCAGTTGCTAGGAAAGGTCGGCCTAAAAGGATGGGTGTTTGTGTATCCTTTTCCATCTCAGTACTACAAAATCCACTGGAATATAGAATTTGCCAATTTTGACTAGGACATCTTCTATAATTCCGCTTGGATACTTAGCAGATCAATCGACTAGTTTAGGAACCATGAGATTTCCAAAATGATATTCTGCACATGCATGCCCTGCCTTAGCATAGACTTCAAGTTCTGGTTGTATTGCTCCAACAACACTCACATTTAGCTTATCTAGTTTCCTAGACAAGGCATCGAATTTTGCAGATGGAAATGTGAGTCCGTCAACATTAAGTTTTGCGGCTACCTTCTTTGTTGTTTCTCATTCTTCATTCCATCTGTAACTGCTTGCTGCCATTTCCTCCAATAGGTTGTAAGCTTCATTGACTCTTTTCTTTAGGAAGGATCCTCCGACGGCTGCATCTAGAGTGTTTCTCATTGAAGGCATTACACCATCAAAGAATAGTTGAATTAGGAATGGTCTATCATACCATGCTGCAGGCATTGTCGCTGAAGATCTTTAAATCTTTCCCAAGCTTTATAAAGAGTCTCGTCTTCTTTCATTCGAAATGTGACTATTTCACTTCTCATCTTTGAGGTCTTGCTTGGTGGAAAATATTTTTGTAGGAAAATTCGGCATAACTCCTCACAAGTGGTGAATGAACCAAAGGGCATAGAGTGTAACCAAAGCTTAGCTCTGTCCCTAAAAGAGAAAGGAAATAATTTCATTCGAATGGCATCATCACTGGCTCCATTTACCTTCAATGTGTCGCTAATTTCAATGAATGTTGCTAGATGAACATTTGGGTCTTCGCTTGGCAAACCAGCAAATTGAGATTGTTGCACCATTAAGATTAGTCTTTGTTTACGCTCGAAGTTGTTTACAGAAACAGGTGGTCTAACTACAACAGTTTGGATATCTCCGGGATTTGGAATATTCAAATCCCATAAAGTACTTTCTTCAGCCATGATTTGTTCTGTATCGTCTAACTCTTCTAATTTGGATTCTATTTTCTCTACCTCTTCTGGCTCGGATCGCGACGTTTCAGCACTTCGATGTCTAGTCTGGATAGGACTTTGATTTCTCCTCTGGTGCCTTCTGTTGATTCTTTGTAAAGTACGTGTTGTTCTTTCTATTTCTTGATCTAGAGTCACAACATCAACATTTCTCGATCTGACTATAAAAGGTTAGTGTATATATGTTCTTTCTATTTCTTGATCTAGAGTCACAACATCCAACATTTCTCTCGATCTGACTACTAAAAGGTTAGTGTTATATATATATATATATATAATATATATATATTTTTAATTATATTGTATATATATTTTTATATTATATATGTATATATATATGTGTCCTTTTCTTTATTAATAATATATTTTTTACATATATTATATATAGGTGTCCTTTTCTTTATTATATATATTTTTTATATATTATATATAGGTGTATATAAATGAAAAGAAACTACTGAAATAAAAATAAAAAATAAAAGCAAAAGTAGAAATAAATGATAGATAAATAAAATTGTATGACGCCTTTCATGTTAGTTATCTCCTCTTTCGATGTAGTCAACTATAATAATCGTATGACGCCTTTCATATGTTGTATACGTAATAAGCTTTTCCCCCTTTTAACACTAGCTTTATCCTATTTCTAGGTATAAAACCAATGATCAATATATGTGGTTCAGGTGCTTGAACTTCATCTTTTAATCCTTCGCTCGCTTACCTAATGTCACGTAAAATAAAGGGATCTGGCTTTATTTTATAGCCGTTTGTCTTGCATAAATTGAATCAAAAATCTATATAACATTATATATGATTTAATTTTTAATAAAGTTGCCCAGCATTCTAGAGGTAATAGATATTAATCCATCCCCAAAATGACTGGTTTACTCACTCATTTTAGAGAAAACAATGTAAACAACGAAATAGCAATCCAGACCTTTTATTGAGAGAAAAAGAATGGAGTTACTGAAAGGTTGTCTTCTATAAAAAAAATAAAGAACATAAAGATAACAGATAATAACAGAGGAGAATGATGGATTAGGTATGGCTTCTGTTAAGTCTGAGACTCTGTCACACAACCTTCCTCTCCTGACCTCTAAGATTATGAACAGGAAACTACGCTAAATATTTACAGAGTGATAAACTATATTCTATTTTTTTATTAGCTAATCAGCTAACCATCCTCTTTCTCTGTTGATTTATGCTACTATTTATAGAACTCAAATTCTTGGAGGGTACTCTTCTCTATGCAATTTGGCAAGTGGGGCAAGTCTGTTGAGTCTAAGACTCTGTCACACAGCCTTCCTCTCCTGACCTCTAAGATTATGAACACGAAACTATGCTAAATATTTACAGAGTGATAAACTATATTTTATTTTTTTTCTTAGCTAATCAGCTAACCATCCTCTTTCTCTGCTGATTTACGCTGCTATTTATAGAACTCAAATGCTTGAAGGGTACTCTTCTCTACACAATTTGGCAAGTGGGGCAAGTGGGCTCCTCCAATTAGAATACAGCTAAGCATGAGCTGTCGTTCAATGAATAGGGACTTTTAGCCTTGGAATTGGTGTAAGCGATCGCTTGATTTGTCTTTGGTACATATAAGATCACCTAACACCCATAGGAGACCGCTTGGAGTACTGTTTCGTCAATAGGAGGTCGCCTGGTGCTTATAGGAGATTGCATGGATGGTATCTTGGCCATAGGAGATCGCCTAGAGGGTGAGTAACACGTAGGAGATTGCCTAATGATGGATTTGGCCTTAGGAGATCGCCTAGTGCACTTTGGCGGTCTCCTAGCCTCTCTTCCTATCGCCTAAGTCCATTTTGCCTCTTTTCCATGTCTTAGGCGATAGCCTAAGTCCATTTGTCCTCTTTTACATGTCTTAGGCGATAGCCTAAATTCAAATTCTGTTGGACTTGGGCATTTCTCCTTTTGGGTTTAGTTTATCGGCTTCTTTTCTCTATTGATTAATGTCAATTTGGGCTTGTGAAATGGGCTTTGTGAACCCCTACCCAAAATATCATGCATATGATGCATGTGATTAAGGGCAGAAAACCCAAATATCATGCATATGAATGCATGTTGATAAGGGCAGAAATGCACGTGAATGTATGAGTCGCACCTCTGTTGTTCACCTTGTTTAATTATTTTAGGGTAAACTAGGAAAAAACCCTAAGTGACTCCAATTTTAATTAACCTAAATGCTAGATTAATTAACCCAATGTTAACGCATGGTCTACGAACCCGAGGTGGATCCTGAGACTATATCATGCTGATGAACTAACCAAAACAATGAATGCTTTGCAGGGTAAATGATGCAATTGGACCAATGAAAGTGTTTATGTCATTTTGACTTGCCGCCCGGGTTAAATCCCAAACGTGCCTACGTACTTCCGTTTGAATGGAAGATCAAAGTCAACATAGTTCGATAGGCCTCTTTTCTTTTAGAGCGGCTTTGGAATGGAGATGCCTTTATGCATGAGTGTGTGGTATGCTTTATGCATTTTTTGTTTAGGCATTCCTGCGCCTAAAATTGATTTTTTAGGCATTTGATGCCCAAAAGTGTTGATTTTAAATGGCTTTTGCCAAAAAAGAATTGGATTTAGGCATTGTTGCCAAAAAGTTTTGATTGTTTGGGCGTTTGGTCGCCTAAAGTGCTTGATTTTAAGGCTTTTAAGCCAAAAAGATTGATTAATTCTAGGCAATTTTGCCAAGCTTCTTTGATTTAAGCGGATTCGTTCGCTAAAAAGTGGTTAATCTAATTTATAGGCAATTTATTTTGCCAAAAATTGATTGAACCGCGGGCAAATTTTGTTGCCAAAATGTGGTTGATTAATTGTAAGGCGATTTGGTTGCCAAACGTGATTAATTAAAGGCTTTTTAGCCACAATTATTTGATTAATTGGGACCTTTGAAGCCAGACTGTTCGATAATAAAGGCAAATTAACCGAGTTATTAATTACTAGGTCCTCTTTAGCCGATAATTGTGGATTTAGCTTAATACCACGAATTATTAATTAACTCGGCATTCAACAAGCTTAATCATATTTGATTGAGGCATAGTTTATTTGCCTAAATGACAAATGACATGATGCATTTATGCAGTTTGTAAGTTATTAAGGAGTAGAAGAGAAAGATATGCATGAATGCTAAATTAAATGGCAGAGTTTTTGTTTGATTTTACCTGAGTTAATCGGTGACCCGCTTCTTAGGCTTCAGCTTGAAAACCTTCCGGATTAAGCTCCCTCGTTTGGGGAAATATAATTTAGAATTAATTTAATTTAAGATGGCCGAATTATTAAAGCAAGAAAGCAATAAAAAGCTAAATTAAATTAAAAATGCAGAAAAGCAGTAAAAGAATCGCAAGGAGCATAGGGGAGAAGGAGCGTCCGTCAACACAGACTAAGTGTGTAAAACTGAGGGCCTCTGGGCCAATTTATAGGCAAAAAATCGGACTGTTCGGCGGCCAGGTTCGACGGCCAGGGCTGCCGAGTTCGCTAATTTTTCGTTCCGGAGGCTTTTTAGGGAGTTTCGGACCTCTGAAAAATATTCCGGGACCAGTTCCGCGATCCTCGCGACGTCCCGGGCGTTTCAAGTACCATATTGGCATACTTCCGGTGAACTTCCAAAATGGCCTTCGGTCTAGCCGGACTGCTTGCAGTCCGAAAAAAAAGACTTTTCTGGAAGTTCCGGACCTCCAAAAATTATTCTGGGACCAATTCTACGATCCTCGTAATTTTTCGGACGTTTTAAGTACCATATTTTTTTCGGACGTTTTAAGTACCATATTGGTATACTTTCAGTAAATTTTCAAAATGGCCTCCAGTCCGGCCGGACTGTTTGCAGTCCGAGAAAACTGGCTTTTTGAGCCTTAAAATTTGAGTATTCACAGGCTTGTAATATTAGCTCTCAAATTGGGCTTTTTCAGGTCAATTTGCCAATATTTCTATAGATTTTATGAACAACTCATCTTTTTTAATTTCTGAGGTTCCTCCCTGCATAAAACTGTAATTCTACAAATTTTCTAAGGTAAATGCACAAATATAGCCATTTTATTAGTTAATTTAGGGGGGTTTTTGGTGTAAAAATATATAATTATTTGCATCGTATCAGCAATCAGAATTTCATCTTTTCAAATTGATAAAAATAGAACCAAGGTTGGGATCAATTGTATCTTAATATGTCACCTCCTCAGTGTTTTATAAATGTTTTGTAAGAGTTGCATTCTGTAACACCCGCCGCCTGATCCTGAAAGACCTGACGGTGGATGCCACATTCAGTGCCGGATGTACCGTCTTAACCTACATATAAATCATACAATCATATTATGAATTAGAAGTGACTTAAATGAATTAGAAGTGACTTAAAAATATTCATAGTTTAGCATGTAATAATATTTTGTTTTTGAAAATGATTTGGGACAAGTCTACAGAAAACTGCAAGATTTCCCCTAGAAGTTGCCAAATATATGAATACAAAGCACTCCCAAATTCAAACTCCAAACCCCATCAAACTCCAATAACAACACAATAGCACTTCTATAATTTGATACCTACATAATTCCTCAATAAAATTTT